TATCAAACAGTTGATTACTATAGTTGTTGACTACTGTGTCTTGTGCATCTAACCTATTCCACTGATCTACTCCTCTATTTCTTAGCCAGTGCCAAATAGTTTTGATGATTGCTGCTTTATAATACAGTTTTAAATTTGGTCAGCTAGGCCACTTTCTCTTCTTGCAAATGATCTTGCTTCCTGGGGTCCCTCCAGTGGCTGCAAACTACAGCTGTCCTCTCTGCCCCTAATTGAAACTCTGCTGTCCTACAAGTGCCTGCAGCCAACGGGATCCCTGCCTCTTGCTACTGCACTTACCAGGTGTGTGCCAGCTCCTTCTCTCCACAGCCACAGCCCAGGACCCATCTGGTCAGCACTGCTGTGCTTGACATCCCTCTACTGCCATCCCTGTACTGTGGAAGGTCCTTCAATTGTTTCCTACTCAGCAATCAGACCCCTACACTGTTTGTGAGATGAAAGTTTCTAAGGCCAAGGCTGCCTCTCAACCCAGCTGCCCCCAGGGCTTGTTGATTGTTGATTCTGCAGCGTCAGCCTGGAGGTATTTGTACTTCACTCAGGCCAAACCTCTGCCCCTGGAGGTTGGGTCTTTCCTGGGGTCTTCTCAGATTGTCTTAGGAGGACCACTGCTTTGCCCTGTGTTTATTTCTGTTGCTCTAAGGCAATGTTCTGTCTTTTTTTTTGTGGAGGAAATTTGGAGAGCTGAAAAGTTTTCTGACCTACCCTGCCATCTTCCCAGAATCCTCTCCTAGAATGATTTCATCCCATCATATTTCAGGAAATCTTAAAAGAAAACTGCTCAGATCTTTTAAAATCAGAGAAAAATAGAAATGGAAAGAATCTATTGGTTTCCTCCTAAAAAAACTACAAAATGAAAACTCTCAGGAACATTTAGTAAAAGACCCAGAACTTCTAGTTAAAGAAAAAAAAATTGCAAGGAATCAGAAAGAATTAAAAGGATCCATAGTCAGCATCACAGAGGAGCAGAGACTTATAATACAATATTTCATAAAGCAAAGAATATGGACTTACAACCAAGAATAACTTAGTCAGTAAATTGTGTATTATTATGCTACAGGGGGAAAATAGATTTTTAATGAAATAGAAAACTTTCAAACATTCCTTATGAAAAAAACAGATCTGAGTAGAAAGTTTGAAATACAAACATAGGAGTTAAGAGAAGCCTAAAAGATAAATAGGATTGAGAAATGAGAGGTTGCATTATTTACATTCTGATATTATTAGGAACATATGATAAAAGTGTCCCTTAATGTCATTAGGAATTACAAAAGAGGGTTAAATAAGACAGAGCACCCAGGAATGTTTTGTTATGTTCCAATTATCTTAAAAGAAGAAAGGAAATGGAAAAAACAATACATTAAGGAAGAAAGAGGGAAGGTGAGTGGAGGAACTACAGTCTCACATAAACAAGGGTGGTTGTGTGTGTGTGTTTGTGTGTGTGTGTGTGTACAAGACTGTACAAAGAAGAAGAAAGGAGTAGGGGGAGTTTGAATTCCTTGAATCTCACTTTTATGTGAACTGGTCATAGGAAGGTAGAACATGTGCACATGTTAAGAGTTTGGTGTAGAGATATGTTTACCTAAATAGAGAAACAGAATTAAATAGAGAGAGGAGAATAGAGGGATGATTTAGCCATAAGCAAAATAAACTCTAAACTAGAGAGTGGATTACAAAGAGCGACTTTAAAAAGAAAGAATAGGAACCTGAGAATGGAGTCTGGGTGAGAGAAAGGGGGAAGAAAAAATGGGGGGGAGGGAGCTGAAGCAGAGTGCATCAAGCATAGAGCACTTGTGCTAAGCACACATCTTTCTCATCATCCCCCTTTTCTTTGTAAAGAGGAGGGTAGGAAGCAAAAAGTATAATTGAATAGAATGGAGAGAAATATATAATTAATTATTTTAATTATGAATGTAAATGGGATAACTTCACCCATAAAATGGAAGAGGATAGAAGAATGAATTAGAAAGTAGAATCCAATTTGTTATTTCTAAGAAACACACTTGAAACATAAAGATTGATAGAGCATTAAAATAATGGACTGGGGTAGATTTATTATGCTTCAGCTGAAAAAAAAACCAAATAAACCCAGGGGTCACAAGCAACATCTCAGAGAAGACCACAACAAAAATAGACTTAATTAAAAGATAAAACTAGGAAAATTACATTATGCTGAAAGGTACCACAGTTAATGGATTAATATCAATACTTAAACATATATTGCTTAATGGAATAGCATAAAAGGAAATAGGCAGGTAGGTGGTACAGTGGATAGAGTACCAGGTCTAAAGTCAGGAACACTCATCTTCTTGTGTTCAAATGTAGCCTCAGACATTTATTAGTTGTGTGACCCTGGGCAAGTCACTTAACCCTGTTTGCCTCAGTTTCCTCATTTGTAAAATGAGCTGGAGAAGAAAATAGCAAACCACTCCAGTATCTTTGCCAAGAAAACCCCAAATGGGGTCATGAAAAGTCAGATATGACTGAAAAACAACAAACAACACTTAAAAGAAAAAGTAAATTATTTACAGGGAGAAATAGATCATAAAACTACAAATAGTTGGGGACTTCAGTGTATCACTTTCAGACCTAAACACATCTAATTAAAAAAAAAAAGAGGTTAAGGATCTGAATAGAATTTTATAAGAGTTAGATATGATAGATCTTGGGTAGTAATTCCTGAGTGGGAATAATTACTGAGTGAGAATAGAAAGGTGTTTAAATGTTTTGAATTATAAACAAATTAGAGGAGCAAGGAAGAACATAACTATAGGTAGGAAAAAAGTTTATGTTAGAGATGATCACAGGTGGTAAAATTAACATGTGGATTACACAAAATGAAAAAGTTTGAACACAAACAAAACCAATGCAGTTAAATTGGAAGAGAAGCAATTAACTAAGAAAAAAACAATCTTTGCAGCAAATTTTTCTTATAAAGGTTTTAATTATACAACATATATGGAATTGATTCAGATATATTAGATAAGAGCCATCCCCAGTTACTAAATAGTCAAAGGATATGAACAAACAGTTCTCAAAGGAAGAAATTAAATCATTGATTTGGAAAACTGTTCCAAATCACTGATAGAGTAATGTTAATTAAAGCAAGTCTGAGGTTCTACCTGTCATCCATCAGATTGGTAAAATTGATAACAAAGAAAAATTATAAATGTTGGGAGAGCTGTGGGAAAACAGGTACATTAATTTACTATTGGTAGAACTGTGAATTGGTATAGCAGTTGGAAAGCAGTTTATAAATATTCCCTAAAATGACCAAATTCTGTGTAACTTTTGACCTAGCAATGCCATTATTATGCCTGTATCCCAAGAAGATCAAAGAAAGATGAAAAGCTCCTATATGCAAAAATTTTTATAACAGCTCTTTTTTTGTAGTGGCCAAGAGGGTGCTCATCAGTTGGGAAATAGCTGAACTAATTATGGCATATGAATATAATGGATTACTGTTGTGATATAAGAAAAGATGAAAGGGATAGTTTTAGAGAAATCTAGGATGACATGTATGAATTTATGCAGAGTGAAGTGAGTAGATCCTAAAGAACAATTATATAGTAACAGTGAAGACAAACAGTTCTGAAAGAATTCTTACTAATGCAGTGACCATTAATGATTCCAGATGACCAGTGTTGAATTCTGCTACCCAACTCCTGACAGGTGATGGAGCACATTATGCTGCAAAAAATCTGTATTCTGTTTTAGTGAAGGGCACTAAAATAAGATTCTTAGAATAATGATTTAAATTATACAAATTGGTCATTAACTGGGAAAAGTAGGGGGAAAAAACACCCAAAAGAAAATGCTTAAGAGATTGTAAAAACTAAAAATTTGTTAAATAATGTATCCATTTCCCAGCAGGCTAGTTTCTTCTTACTGAAAATATTAAATGTAGGCAAAAAGTTTTAGACAAATTGACCAGTAGGTGAATTGGTTTTAGGGAAACTGGTTTTAGGGAAATTGACTTTTAGTCAATTTGTTTAAGGGAATTAGCTTGCTTCCTATCTACTCTACTCATTTTACTTTAAACCAGATATTCACAGATCTAGGACTAATTGTGTTATTTTCATTTTCATGGTAAATTCATCACCTTAGGAAAAGCAGTTTATTACCAATGTGATTTTGGGCAAGTCACTAAATTTTTCTGAGCCTTAGTTTCCTAATCAGTAAAATGAGGGAGTTAGACTAGATGACTTGCAAAGTCTATTCCGCCCTTCAGTCTCATGATCCTTTGATACGTTATGGTCTGATAGAACTTTGATTCTTGTCCCAGCCCTGCCACTACCTAATTGTATAATTTGACTAAATTAGGTAACTTTCTATGCTTCACTTTCTTCATCTGTAAAATTGAGAAGATAACGTCTGCCCTACCTACTTCATAGGTTTGTTGTTTTAGGCAAAATGGTTTTTGATTATGAAGTTGAAAGTGAAGCAAAACTATGGGTTAAAATGCAGTAATTTACTTAAAAGCTATTTGAAAGGTAAAAAAACACTGTATTAGTGTTTCTCAAATCTGGTTTTGCAACAGCCTGGGTTATTCCTAATTACTTAAGTACCGATATTGTGAAATTATTTTTTTAAAAAGTTCATTTTAATTTAATTTTTTAAAATGCTATGCAAAATTTAGAAGGGAGAAGTAAGACTTAAAATGACCAAGTAGTTTGAAAATCACTGTACTACATAAAGGTAAATTATATTGATGATAATAATGCTATGAATGAATGAATCAGATAACTAATAAAGAGGTTGTACTTACATGCATGATATAGCCTTGTAAATAGCCATCTCTGGACTTTGTGCAGAACACTGTAATATGTGGCAAATAGAAAAGAATGCTTATTTTATTGGACCCTTCCCAGTAAAGAAGGGAGAACTATCTTTAAAATAAATTATGACTTGATGTATTTTTTGAAATTGTTTTTAAAGCTTTTGTAAGTAGAACATTTCATGGAACTTCCTTTTTTCCTTTGTAGGTACTACTCTGCTCTAAAAACTATGGAACAATTAGAAAACATATATTTTCCTCGCGTTAGTCAATACCGGTTTTGTCAGATAATGATAGAAAATCTTCCAAAACTCAGGGAGGAAATAAAAGAAATCTCCATGTCTGATCTCAAAGACTTTTTAGAGAGCATTCGAAAACATTCCAATAAAATAGGTGAAACAGCAATGAAACAGGTGAGATTAATAATGGAATAGTTTTCATCAAACATGTTAAAGTCAGATATTTTAAAGGTTTTTTTTTTCTACATAGAAGCTTTTAATGGTATTCTCTAATAATGGGAAAATTTCTTAATATTTTATGTTTAAAATGGGAAACCAAAGAATGTCAACATTTGCATAGTTAAAATAAATTCTAGAAAAAATCTATCTCATTTTCTAAAGCTTTATTTCTTATGAGAGTTATTACTATGATGTTCTCACCTTTCCCCACCTTCTGAAAATGGTGTTATAGCCAAAAATCTTTTTATAAAGTTAGTTACTTATTTCTTGCTCTTCAATCTTGGCCTTGTCGTTGTTATCTTATTTCTTATGTAGCCTCAACTCTATCAGCCTTTTTTTTTGTTCCTCAAGTACTTAATCAACAAGCTTTTAAACACCTACTACGTGCCAATATTGTGCTAAGTTCTAAGAGCATAAAAACAAAAATGAAGCAATTCTTATTCTCAAAGAGGTTACATTCTGTCAAGGGAGACACACGCATATGAAGTATATACATATATATAAAGTATATATAGATTTATCTATATGTATCTGCACATAAATATTTTATATATATACACATACATACTTAAATGCATATATGTATGTATACATGTATATATACACACATACCCAAATACTTTATATGTGTGTGTGTGTGTGTGTGTGTATATATATATGTATATATACACATACATATATGCATATAAATGTATATGCAGAATAAATACAAGATAGTCAGGGAGGGTGCTAGCAGTAGGTGGAATCAGGAAAGGCTTTTTACAGAAGGTGATGATTGAGTTGTCTTGAAAGAAGTGAGAAGTCTTTTAAGCAGAGGTAAAGAGAAAGTATATTTCAGGTTTGGGTGATGGCCAATGCAGAATACTTAGAGGAGATGAAGTGCTGTGAGTGAGGAGCAAAGAGAAATCCAGTTTGGTTGGACCGTACAGTGCAGGAATGGGAGTAATTTGTAATGAAAGTTGAAAAATAGATTGGGACTAAGTTGTGAGTGGCATTAAAAGCCAAATGGAAGAGCTGATATTTTATCTTACAAGTAATAAGGAGCCATTGGAGTTTGGGTTGGGAAGTGATATGTTCAGACCTTCATATAAGAAAAAACTTTTTGACACCTGTGTGGAGAATGAATTAGAGTAGGGAGAGATTTGAGGGAGGGAGACCAATTAGGAAATCACTGTAGTACTCCAGACAGAAGATGATGAAGGCCCAAACTAAAGTGATGCTTATATGAATAGAAAGAAGGGGTTAGATGCAAGAGATGTGGAAATAGAAATGGTAGAATTTGGCAACCTATTGGATATGTGAGGTGGGAAGAGTGAGAAGTTGAGGATAGTGCCAAAGTTATTATGAACCTCAGTGACAGAAGCGATGGTAGTGCCCTTGAGAAAAATAGAGTTTAGTAGAGGGATAGGTTTTTATAGGGCTGGAGGAAAGATGATGAATTCTTTTTTAGACTTGTTAAATTTGAGATGTCTCCAAGATATCCAGTTTGGAATATCCATCAGACAACTGATGATTTAGAATAGGACCTAAGTGGGGAGAATGAAGTTGGATATATAGATCTGTGCGATGAGATCACCAAATAAGAGAGTATAGAAAGAGAATATAAGAGGGCGCAAGTCAGAACCTTGGGGAATACCTGTAGTTGGGATACATGATATGAATGATGAGCCAGCTAAGGAGCCTGAGGAGTAGTCAGGTAGGAGGACTAAGAGAGAGACCTCGTGTCATAAAAACTCAGAGAGGGAGAATATCTAGGAAGCAAAGGTGGTCCATAGTGTCAAATGCAGCAGAGAGGTCAAGAATAATGAGAGCTAAGAAAAGAAATGACATTTGGCAATTAAAAATGCTTTGGTAACTTTGGAGAGAGCAGTTTTAGTTGGATAATGAGACTGGAAGCTAGGTTGTAGAGGATTGAGGAGTGAGTAAGAGTAAGTGAGTTAGTGAGTGTCCTTGGCAAGGAGAAGAAAGAAAAGACTTAAAATGTTATATACAGTTCTGTGTTGCTTTCTGAAGGACTTCATTGTTGTACATATCATTGAAGTATTGGGAATTAATAGGTACCTTTAAAATAAACTCACGTAGACAAAGGTTAGCACAGAATTGTTCATATACCTTTGAGGATCCTTTGAGTTTCTTTTGATGAAACAAGACCGGCTGGTTCAGGTGCTTGTCAGTACCATATCACATTTAATACGTGGATAGACATTTGAAAATTAACATAAGTCTAAATCAATGTAGTAGAATTGATATTTTGTTTGCATTTATTTATTTAGTCTGATTTCATCCTGTGACTTCATCCATGTAGGGAGTTCCCTGATAGGAAACTGCCCTCTATCGATGTAGATTGTCAATTTATTTTTAAATTATAGCTTAAGAGAGTTGCTTGAGGCACACAGCCAATACATATGCATCAGAGATAGGCCTTGAATCCAGGTATTTCTGACTCCAAATTTAGCTGACTTTCCCTTCATCCCTATGCTCTTTCTTTTAAAATTAGTTAAAATTTCAAAGGTATGGATTTAATTAGTTATGTAAACTAAATCCTTAAAATTAGAAAATTTTGCCTCTTATGTCTTAATAATTTGTTCAGATGTGGGATCAAGTGGAAATAAGACCTGGAATCCTGTCCTGTGGAACCTTGATTTTTTTTATTTTTAACATACCATAATTTAAGATTCTCAAAAGTGAACTGTTGGTGAGCACTAGGAAGCATGCTGTTGGTGGAAAATCTGTTGCTTATCAGATCATGGTGTTAGATTCTCAGGTAGAAAGTTTTAGCAAGGAAGAATCTATTTTCGTATTTTTTTGTTATAATTTCAGTTTTAGAGTATGTCAGTGGAAAATAGGTGTAAATATAAGAAATTTTACTATTAACTTTTTAGGAATGTGTATAGTTTATAAATTAGTTTTCTAAATCATTCTTTATTTTCTCCTCTGTGAATAATAATGATGATTACTCACATTTGTATAGCATTTTGCAAATGCACATTTGCAAAGCATTTTTCTTACTAGAATTTTTTAAGGATATATGTTTGTTAAATGACTTTATTGGGAGAGAAGTTAATTTTCAAAATTCTTTACTAGTTATCACTATTTTAAGAAAAAAATAAAAATTAATAATTTATTGGTATACTTAGTATATAGCCATAATTTAAGTGTGATGTTTCTTCAGTTATAGTTAATTCTTAGTTTTACTTTGGGTGGATTATGGCAAATATTATTTCAAAATTTTTATATAACTAAAATGAATAATTAAATACTTTATTGACACATTATCTTTGATGTTTGTAGAGTAGATGAGACTAGGAAAGAAGAATTTAAGGCAAAAGAAGAAGTTCCCAAAAATTTACTGTCCTCTAAGTAGCTTAGCTCTAAAAGCTAAGAAGCTTTTCTTTCCTGAATTCTGGGCCCAGTGCAGTGTTTCCTTTCATTAAGACAGGGGTGTGGGTGTTTGTGGGTAGACTAGAAATGAAAATGGTTCAAGACTGGAGACTAGTAGGTTAGAAGGCTCTGAATTGAGACACCTGAGATCTAAGAATGTAGTTACAGAAGAAACAAAAGGCACAGTGAGGAAATCCAAGGAGACCAAAGTTTAAGAGACCTCATTCATTCAATGGAAGCTCTATCAGGAGATCTACACTCAGAACTTTTGATTCTGATTGAGACAGTACCACAAATATGTAAGATCAAGGGTTGGGGGGATGAGAGTTCAGAGGTTCTTTTATCTGTGGCTATAGAGTGACTTGAGTGCTTTTATAAATCCTAATTTTGAACCTTATCTCAAAACCTGTTTTGAGATTACCCCCTTCATTTTCTATTGTTTAGAACTTCAGACACTTAGATGGGAAGATATTTTCTCTGATAAAATGAGAATCGAAGGAGCCACATTTTTTTTTTAATCTAAGGATCTCTTGTTCTATTGTTGAATTTCAGGGCCTTTTCTTGTTGCTATTATACAGGGGCCTATTAGAGAGTACTTCTTTTCCCTTGCTGTGTTTCTCATATTACAGGCTTTTCAGTATTTTTTTCTTATTTCTGATCAAATAAGAAATCCAAAGTACCTCATGCAGGTCAAATGTACAGTTACTTTTTACTGTAGCTAATGAAGGATTTGGGCATAGGGATATTTACAGCTTAATGAATGCAAATATTATTTACATTCTACATGAAATTTAATTTATAGTAGTGAAGTTGTGACTTGCCTCAGTCAAATGCTAGCATATGATCTAGAAAGGGGCAACTGTGTGCTCCAATAACATTTATTGAATGAATGAATGTTAGGAAATGTGGGGGTGGGTGCGCCAATAAGAGGACATACTTGAAAAATTAGGATTGAAAAGGCAGAGACTGATGGAAGACATGATCAAAATCTATAAGATCATAAATGGTATAGATTAAATAAACATGAACTTGTTTACTGAATCCTGAAATGGTAAGATGAAGTTCTTGTTGGAACTTAAATGTTTAACACAAATAAAAGGAAGTATTATTTCATAAGAGGGTATTAAACTTTTTTTTTTTTTGTTTCAGGCAATTGGGGTTAAGTGACTTGCCCAGGGTCACACAGCTAGTAAGTGTCAAGTGTTTGGTCTGAGGCTGGATTTGAACTCAGGTCCTCCTGACTTTAGGGCTGGTGCTCTATCTACTGCGCCACCTAGCTGCCCTTTAAACATATTATATTAATAACTCCCTTTCATATGGTGCTTTTTATAGTTACAAAGCATTTCATATACATTATCTCATCTGCCCTTTACAACAACCCTGTTAGGTGGGTTGTGTAAATATTATCCCCTTTTTAAAGATATGGAAACCGAAGATCAAACAAATGAAACAACTTGCCCAAAGTTACACAGCTAGTGGTGAAGCCAGGATTCAGACCAAACCTAATACTCTTTATGTTATGTTATACTGACATTTTAACTTAGGATTGATAAAAGCAGAAAATATAAATTAATTAAAAAACACTTGGATCAGTTTATGATTTACTGAGCCATATGTGGCTACAAAGGGAAGTTGAGATATACCTGATCTTTAAAGTTGACATCAGGGAGAGCAGCTATCTTTCTCAGAATATTTCCTTTGGGGCTAGTAGAGGAACTGTTGTAAATACATCCTCGGTTGGATTGAACTATAGCATGGCCCTCAGTTCTTTATGTAAGGTATAAATAGAGACCGCTAGGTGGTACAGTGGATAGAGCACTGGACCTGGAGTCAAGAAGACCTGAGTTCAACTCCAGACTTAGACATTTACTAGCTGTGTGACCCTGAAGAAATCACTTAACCTCTGTTTGCCTTAGTTTCCTTGTATGTAAAATAAATATAACAATAGCACCTACCTCCCAGGGTTGATGTGAGAATCAAATGAGACAATAATTGTAAAGTGCTTAGCATGGTATATGGCATATAGTAAGCACTATGTAAATGTTAGTTGTCATCATTATTATTAAGTAGAATATTTACTCACATACTTGCAAGTATTTGGACCGTTAGTGAAACTTGAAATATCTGCATTTTAACGTGAATTTTTCTTTTTCTGAAATAGGCTCAGCAACAGAAAATCTTTAATGTTGCTCTGCAGAAGCAAAATAATACAAATATGGGCAGAAACATGTATGTAACTAATGGCAGAATTCCAGAAGAAAGAAATGAAGTAACATCAACGTATGCATTTGAGGAAGAAGATGAGAATGAGGAGGAGGTGAATATATTTCCTTTTTCACTCATCTGCAGTTGAGTACCTTTTTGAATATGGGCTATATGCAGGATATCAGTCTTCTGTTCAGGAATCCATGATGGTTTCCTCTTGCCTACTGCATCAATTTTAATTTTTTTCTTGATTGGAAGGCTGTAAATAATTTGGCCTCACTCTAAATATCCAGTTTTATTTCCCACTATTTGCCAAAACCTACTCTCCACTGCAGTCAGATCATTCTCCTCACTCTACGTCAATTCCTCCATTTGCTTATATCATGCCCATTCTTATATCCACATCTTTGTTCATGCTGTTCTTCTCTATTCATCTATCCTTCAAGGCACTGATCGAGTCCTATCTTCTGCATGAAATTGGTATTTTCTGACTTCTTCAGCCTCCTCTGATCTCTCCTTTCTTTAAGTTCTTTGGCATCCCAACATACATACATATACATACATATATATGTACACATGTAATTTATATATATATAAAATTATGCATATGTACTCTGTATCCTATATATAATATATGCATATACTATATCATATATATACAATATTGTATTGTGTATGTACTACATACATAATTATATATAGATACATGTGCGTAATGATATACTTTGTCATCACCACATAATTTAATATTTAATTATTTTAAAAACCATTTCTTGTGTGTTGGTTTAGTCTTTGTAACTAGATTATAAATTCCCTGAGGGCAGGTGATTATGTCTTACACTTTTTTTTTTTTGGAATTCCCACAGCATTCCCAGACATGTAGACACTCAGATATTTTCGGTTAATAAAAGGGACAATAGAAGTACATGATTACTGTCTTCTTTACCACTGATGAGGCAATGTGATACCTCAGCCTTATAGTTGGATGTGTCTAGAGGAAGAAAAGGAGAGTGGAATGGGAGAGGGGAAGAGCGGAGGTTGTACATATATGCATATGCAAGTGACTGTCCTGCATATTATCCTGAATGCCTTACCACTTGATAGTATCAGTTTAAATTACTCCTACTTTGAATATAGTGGGTCCTATTCACGTTCCCCTCACTACTATGAATTAAATGTTTTTTATATATGAGTACATCAGTAATTTGCCTTTCTACTCCTGATATTTCTTTCAGTTCAATAGCTCCAATGAACTCTGCACCTAGAGGTTCTATTGCCACATTAAAGTCAATAGGGCAGAAGAGAACTCTTGAATGTTTCTGAAATTTTCCTCATCTTGTTTTGTAGCTCTTTGAGTGTTAGTAGCATCTCATTGCTAATGTATGGTTTTTGGATGCACCTTTCTTTTCCATACTTCTGTTAAAGACCTTGATCAGGTTCTGCCTAACTTGTTTCCAAACTTAAATAATTCCTATTTACTCTTGCTTTCAACATCCCATCCGCAGTTTGCCCTATAGGTTTTTTAAATTAAGATTTGTATAGTACTTTAGCCTTTTGGGGAAGGGGGTAAATACTGCAGGTACTATTGTCTTAATTTTATAGATGAAGAAACTGAGACTCAGAGATGTTATATGACTTAACCATGGTCACATAGCTACTGAGTATTGGTCGTGGGATTCAAACTCAGATCTCTCTGACTCCAAGCCTAACACTCCATCCTACACTATGGTGCTTCTTATAAATTGTAGCCAGAATGATTGAGTAATTTTACCATGTTCTTTCATTACCTCATTATTTAATAAATTCATTATGTATTCTCATCTATAAACTTTAAGGTACTCTATCATCTTTTTTGGGCAACTAGGTAGCACAGTGGAGAGAATCCTGGCCCTGGAGTCAGGAAGACTCATCTTTCTGAGTTCAAATCTCGCCTCAGACACTTACTAACTGTGTGACCCTGGACAAGTCACTTAACACTCTTTGCCTCAGTTTCCTCATCTGTAAAATGAGCTGGAGAAGGAAATGGCAAACCACTCCAGTATCTTTGCCAAGAAAACCCCAGATGGGGTCATGAAGAGTTGGACATGACTGAAACGACCAAACAACAACAAAAATACAGATAGATTTACAAAATATATATTTACATGTATTTACATCTCATATATATATTTCCCATTTAAAGTACCCCAGTTTGTTTTTGGTGTCTCTCATTTGATTATAAGCTTCTTAAGAACAAGAATTGTGTCTATGAGGGGCAGCTAGGTGGTGCAGTAGATAGAGCACTGGCCCTGGAGTCAGGAGGACCTGAGTTCAAATCCAGCCTCAGACATTTGACACTTACTAGTTGTGTGACCCTGGGCAAGTCACTTAACCCCATTGCCTAGCCAAAAAAAAAAAAAAAAAGAATTGTGTCTATGGCCAACTATATATATTTTGTATCACCATTATTGAAAGTAATAATAAGCACCTTCTTATGTATGGTGTTTGTATAGGAGCTGAACTAGGTTAAATACGTATTCTTATATATAAATATATCCTTGTAATCCAAAACAAAAGGGACAGTGAACATATAAAGATCAAGCCAGTGAATTAAACAAAAGAATAAATAAGCAAGGTATGATATTTACATTATGTATTAGTAAAGGAGTATATCCTATGAGATGTTAAATATTGATGGTCATGACTCTCTTATGCCTGTTTAAAATTTCATTAATCTTATTGGGATTTGCTTATTGTATAAAAGAAAAACTCATTCCTTGTAATTTCATCAGGTTGATTGGGAAACTCATAAAATTGATCAGGGATTTTTTTCCCCCATTTTTAAAAAAGTTGAATAGTATTTTATTTTTTTCTGCGGTTACATGTCGAGAAAATTTTTAGCATTCATTTTTACAAGATTTTGAGTTCCAAATTTTCTCCCTTTTTCTCTCCCTCCCCTCCTCTCTTCTGAAAATGGTAGGCAGTTCAACATGGTCTATACATATGCTGTCGTGTAAAAAAAATTTCCATATTGATCACGGTTATGAAGAAGAAACAGATTTGAAAAAAAAAAAACATGAGAAAGAATAAAGTGGAAAAATATGCTTTGATCTGCATTCAGAATCCATCAGTTCTTTATCTGGATATGGATAGCATTTTCCTTAGTGAGTCCTTTGTACTTGTCGTGGGTCATTGTTTTGCTGAGAAGAGCCGAGTCATTCATAGTTGATCATCATGCAATGTTGCTGATACTGTGTACAATGTTTTCCTGGTTCTGCTTATTTCATTTTGCATCAGTTTGTACAGGTCTTTCCAGGATTTTCTGAAATCTGCCTGTTCATCATTTCTTATTGCACAGTAGCATTCCATTACATTTATATACCACATCTTGTCTAGTCATTCCCAAATTTATGGGCATTCCCTCAATTTCCAGTGTTTTACCACCATGAAAAGGGCAGCTATGAATGTTTTCGCATGTATTGGTCCTTTTCCCTTATTTATGATCTCTTTGGGATACAGACCTAGTAGTAGTATTGCTGAATCAAAGGGTATACACAATTTGGTTCCCCTTTGGGCACAGTTCCAAATTTCTTTCCAGAATGGTGGATCAGTTCACAACTCCACCAGCAGTGCATCAGTGTCCCCATTTTCCTGCATCTTCTCCAGCATTTATCATTTTCCTTTTTTCTTATATTAGCCAAGCTGATAGGTATGAGGTTGTATCTCAAAGTTGTTTTAATTTGCATTTATCTAATCAAAAGTGATTTAGAGCACTTCATCATATGCCTACAGATAGCTTTGATTTCATCATCTGAAAACTACCTGTTCATATCCTTTCACCATTTATCAATTGAGGAATGGGTCGTATTCTTATAAATTTGACTCAGTTCTCTATATATTTGAGAAATGAGACCTTTATCAGAGATACTTGCTGTAAAGATTTTTCCCAACTTTCTGCTTTCCTTCTAACCATGGCTGTAGTGGTTTCATTTGTATAAAAGTTTTTTAATTTAATATAATCAAAATTATCTATTTTACATTTTATAATGCTCTCTGTCTCTTGTTTGGTCATGAATTCTTCTCCTCCCCATAGATGTGACAGGTAGACCATTTCTTGCTTTTCTAATTTGCTTATGGTGTCACCCTTTATGTCTAAGTCATGCACCCATGTTATCTTGGTGTATGGTGCGAGATGTTGGTCTATACCTACTTCGTGTTCTATTGTTTTCCAGTTTTCCCAGCAGTTTTTGTCAAATAGTGAGTTCTTATCCCAAAAGCTGAGGTCTTTAGATTTATCAAAGATTAGGTTACTATAGTCATTGACTACTGTGTCTTGGGTACCTAATCAATACCACTGATCTACCATTCTATTTCTTAGCCAGTACCAGATAGTTTTGATGATTACTGCTTTATAATATAGTTTGAGATCTGGTATTGCTAGACTACCTTCCTTTGTATTTTTTTTTTCATTAATTTCCTTGATGTTCTTGACATTTTGTTCTTCCAGATGAATTTTGTTATTATTTTTTCTAGCTCTATAAAATTTTTTTTGGTAGTTTGATTGGTATGGCACTGAATTGGTAAATTGGTTTAGGCAAAATTGTCATTTTTATTATTATTAGCTCAGCCTACCCATGAGCAATTGATATTTTTCCACTTGTTTAGATCTGACTTTATTTGTGTGAAAAGTAATTTCGTAATTGTGTTCATATAGTTCCTGGGTTTGTCTTGGCAGGTAGACTCCTAAGTATTTTATATTGCTTACAGTTATTTTAAATGGAATTTCTCTTTCTGTCTCTTGCTGCTGGGCTTTGTTGGTAATATATAGAAATGTTGATGATTTACGTGGGTTTATTTTATATTCCATGACTTTGCTAAAGTTGTTAGCTTTTCAAGTAATTTTTTAGTTGATCTCTAGGGTTCTCTAAGTATATCATCATATCATCTGCATAGAGTGATAGTTTTGTTTCCTCATTGCCTATTCTAATTCCTTCAATTTCTTTTTTTCTCTTATTGCTATAGCTAACATTTCTAGTGCTTTATTGAATAATAGTGGTGATAATGGGATTCCTTGCTTCACCCCTGATCTTATTGTGAAGATTTCTAGCTTATCCCTGATACACATAATGCTTGCTGATGATTTTAGTTAGATACTGTTTATCATTTTAAGGAATGCTCCCTTTATTCCTATGCTTTCTAGTGTTTTTAATAGGAATGAGTGCTGTATTTTGTCCAAAGCTTTTTCAGCATCTATTGAGATAATCAGATGATTTCTTTTGGTTTTGTAATTGATATGGTCAGTTGTATTGACAGTTTTCCTAATAATGAACCAACCTAATCAGGGATTCTTTTGATCAACTCCCTTAATATAGTATTTTGTAGTGTTTTAAAATGTTTTTCCTTTTTTCAGGTGTTAACTGTGCAGGATCTTGTTGATTTTTCACCTGTTTATAGGTGTTTGCATATTTATTCTGTTTTGGTAAGTACTTTTCTGATGAATATATTTGTCTTTAAAAATTTATGACCCCTATTTTATTTTATTAGTAAATTAAGATGAATTTTAATCAGTTAATGCCTACACTGATAATATCATGGTCCACTGAAATATCTCTCCTGAATCACAAAGCATAGTCTTATAAGTACAAAGATGGAAAAGAGATTGGAAGGGGATAGAGAACAAATAGTTGTTTCTATTATTTTGTTAAAATGTATGTTATTATTTTAAGTAAAATATAGATAGTTTAGAAAACATCTTACCAAGAGTGGAATTGATTGGATATGTTGTAGAAGGGATTCTTGTTCAGTTTTGGGTTGGACTAGATGAACAAGTCCCTTCCAGCTCTAAGAATCTTGCATTCGGTAATACTTCTTTTTTTTATTTGGAGTTCAGTTCCATATAATTATTTATTTGTATTTATTTAGAGTGCTATTATATTTATAGTAGGCACTTGAAAAAATAATTTTATAAAACCAGGAAATAGTTTTGTTATTCAGATGTGGATTTTCTGTCATTTTTAAATGATCAAAATGATATCCTTCTATTATTTAGTATACTTCTGTATGGCTTTCTTCTGGCATCATTTGGTCTGTGGTTAAGAAGTAGGAACAGATTTTAACATCAGTGTATGTACTTTTTTCTTTTGATATAATGTCTCTTTTTTGCCTTGGTAGGTAATTTTTGTAAATGGTTATGACTGAAAAATTTTATTTCCTTGTGACCAACCTTTCAATAATGAACTCTCTGAACTTGGGCTGGTTTTTTGTGTGATCTGTTGCTAGTCCCATATCTTAAGCCTTTCTAGATTAAGACATACCAAAATCTAGGGTCACCTCTATGCCTAAAGTATATCTTTAATGCAAACTTAGGGGAAAAACTAATTAAGGAGTTAGATATCATCTCAAATAGTAAAAATTAATGCTAGAATATAGTATAGATTATTTGGGGATTATCTATGTACTGATCCTGTCCTTTAACAAGCAAAATTAATTGATTACATCATTTTAGTAAAGGAAATGAGAGTAAAAGGTACTAAACTTTATTAACTGAATCTGGAAATAAGATGGTTTTATATAATTTAAGTAAATCATTCTGTATCAAAAGAAAGTGTCAAAACTTTTTAGTCTTTTTTATGCTCAAATAACAATTACTTGAAATTTTATAGTACTTTGGTTTTCAAATTACTTCCATATTTAAAAATAATTTTTTCACACAGTATCCATGATACAGGTCTCTCCCACTCACTACAGTAGTTATTCCAACTTTTTCTTTTCTCTTCAAGCCTGCCATAGCACTCTTTTGCCCCTGTCTTCTTGGGTGAGGACTCTTTGCCTCATACATCACCAAAAAATTAAGGCCATTCCATTAAGCCATTTTCCCCTTTTCCTTTTCTCTTCCTTGACACCCTCCCCTCCTCCTTCAGTCTAGTGTCGACTGTCCTTGCTTAGACCAACGAACATTACCCTCAATTTCATATCTACTTGACTTCTCCAGCAGATTGACCTTACAATAATTCTTCCCTTCTCTAATCTTTGGTCTTTCCCTATTTTGAGTTATGATTTTAAAAATTAATTTGATATTCATTATTTATAACAGAATAGTTGAAAGTAACAAAAATATGTTTATCTTAAGATATTCTACAATTTGAGATTCTGATAAATTCAGACGAGTCTTATTTTCTTTTATTCCTTATTTTCTGATTAGTGGGGTTTCACTGCAATATAAATGAAAATAAGTACGTGTAAGCATGGTAATAAACATCTGTTGGGTGCATGTAAAATACATATGCTCTTCTTGAGGGTAAGAATTCTTATTTTTGTCTTTGTATTTCCCAGTGACTGCACAGTGCCTGACACATAATAAGCACTTAATGAGTGCTTGTTGAATTCAATTGAACAATTGAAAATAGTTCTATATTTACATATATGTTTTCCTCCTTTCTTCCTTTCCCCCTCAAATATTTTTAGTGTAAAAACTGTTTGGAGAGACATAGACATTTTTATGTCATTCCCAGAGCCCTAGCAATGAGGATCATAATTACCCTTAACAAGATACTTGAATATTTTCACTTGATATTCCCCTATCTAATTAGAATTTCAGAGGACACTGATAGATGTTTAAATACAGTATGTGTGAAAATGGTACTGCTTACCTGTACACTTGGGGGATATCACCTCTATCACTTGAGGTACTATAGCAGCAACATTAGCAGCTCATGCCTGCCTTGAATCTTACTTTCTGTAAATCTGCAGAAAAGCAGGACCTCACAAAATAATTTATTAATTAGCCAGCAAGGGAGTCAGCACTTACTATTTGCCAAATACTGTGCTAAGCACTAAGTATAAGATCCAACTTGTCCACCAAGTAGCTCTGCATTCAAGCTACCATTTCCCACATGGTGGCAGAAAGGGGGAGGGCTAACAATATCCAACCTGCTGACTAGAAGGTACTCATATATAAATTTTTTACCTACTATTCTCTGTCTCTGCTGTATTTGAAGGCATATTAGGTGTAAACAGATCCTAGGCAGTTGAGGTGGCAGAGGTGATTGAATGTTGATTTAAATGTATGAAAATAAAATAAAAATATCACTGAATTAGGAGAATTATGGAAATCTCTATATGGCTCCTCCCTTACCTTGTGACTGGGAGATTACATAGGCAATCCACATTGTGGCCACATGGTTTATTAAAACATAGCAAAGTAAAATTATCAAGTTATCTTAGGGTGCTTTTCCCAGTTTTCTCCCTAAAGCTCTTTCCAGCTCATAGGCCATGGGAACTGTTAAGGGAAGGTAGCTGCCAGGTTAGCTCTGCAAACAGTAAAGAGGATAGAAAATGTGCTAGGGGTACGAATCAATTTCCTGGGGCATGAATTCACCAGCTAGTGAGGTTTCATGGCAACTGACAGTCCATTCCTTGTATTGGCTTCCATTTCCTAGTTGATCTAGGCAGTACCTACATCAAGGCACCTTGGTCTCCTCTTCACCTTTTCCTCTGAAGCTTTCCAGGATCTCAATCAGTTTGGCCTTTGCTTCTCCTAGATTAAGCTGTATGTAGCAACAAATAGCCAACAGTGGCCATTACCTGCAGCAGCTTTCTCTCTCTGCGTTTAGCGTCATTGAAAGGAATAAATAGCCTTACTGGACGTCTCAGGTGAAGAGGAGGAGGAAATAGGAGACCTTAAGACCTGTAATTTCACATAGAGATCCTTCAGCTCCCAGGTATTTCACTCTTTTTCCTCATCAGTACTCAAAAGGCCTGTATCAGGGTGAATCTTCATTGTAGAAACATCCACTACATAGTGCTATACCTATCACTGTAATGAATGAGATATGTGGACTGTTTAATTTCCTACTAATTAGTTGACAGGAGTAGGATTTTTAGGTTTCCTTCTCAGTTTTTTTTCTCCAAAGAATAAAAAACACACCCAATTTCCTCTTACGTAGCAGCAGGCACACACAAGTAAACCACTTGGCCCCTTGCCTCAATATGTTTTCAATTCATTTGAACAAATATTAAGCATTTACTGTGTGAGGTTGTGGATTCATAGTCAGGGGTTCTGAGTTCAGATGCTCATCCTAATATTTACCTGTGTTACCCTGAGTAAGTCCTTTACCTTCTCTGTGCCTCAGTTTCCTTATCTATAAAGTGAAGATATTGGAGTAAATGACCTCAGAGGTCTCTTGCAGCTCTAAATCCTGTAATTTTATGAAAGCCATTTGGCTAAGTAATGTGGATACAAAGAAAGAAATGAAATACTTCCTATCCTTAGGGAGTTTATATTCTATTTGGGATGCAGTATGAACATAGTATGTTATACTATGGGTAGGGACTGAAGAGGGTAAAATAGAGAACAAAGTGTTTCAGGAAACTTTCAGAAAGATAAGAACAGGAAGATCAGTGAAAACCTCAAGGAGGAGGTGTAGTATTTGAGTTAGGCCTTGAGATGAAGCTGGACATTTAAATTGTTCCAGTGCCATCAATTCACGTCACACCAGAAAAAGTCAGCAGAATAATTTTGAGTGTTTTAAGGTTGTACCAACATTATTTATGAAGAACCTTAGAGGCAGAGATAACTTTTCATACAAAAATAACACATTATTTTCTATATAATGCAAATGGATAAATCTTAAAAGGATTTATTAAAATGTTTAAAAATCTCATTGTGAACTTGAAAACACTTATCATACTTTAAGATTTTTCTGAGGTAGTTGTTTTATGTAAAGAAATGATATATTATTGCCTTTTCAAAATTGAGGGGAGAAAGGACTAATAGAGAGGGAAGGGAAATATGAGTAAATATTGAGTATTTGAGATATGTATCTCTGAGTACATTTTTATCAAATTTCGAGTTATAACTTTTTATCTCATCTGAACTTACTACTTGTTATCTATCCTATTAAAAAGGATAGATAACAAAAGTTGATCCCCGAAACAGTTTGTTGAGAGAATATTATTACTATGTTGTTGATTAGAATTATTTCTCTAGATTTGTTAAGATGGTGAAATAAGATCACCCTCTAGTGGTAAATATTGAAAAACAACAGGCAAAAACAAAATTTGATCGAGGGAGACAGTGGTCACTCATATTTTACATATTGTGAATCAGATACTTTAATATATAAGTTGGGGAATAAAGTATTTTCTGATCTTTGTTGTGAGAAAAATAGAAACATTTTGGAATATTTCTACCTGTCCTGTTGTGGATTTTAATACTGTGATAGTTCTCTTTTGTATTTGTTGTGTGATATTTGATCTGTTATGTGTTACTCATAGATATTTTGTCAATATAGTTCTCTTTGGCATTAAGGATGAATTTAAACTGTCTTATTATAAATAAAAAGTACTATAGTTACAGCAAATTATATTACTGCATGTCAGCATATTCTGAATAAAAATGTATCCATGATGTTTGATTTTAACATTTAACACTTAAAATTATGTTATATGGCTTTTTATATGTTCAATGTGGAGAAAGAT